ATCACGATTAATTGTTTGACAGCACTATATATATATATATATATATATATATATATAGTCAGGATTCTGGACGGTTTTGTTGTGTTTTTCTTCCTCATGTGCTTCCCGTGACCCAGTTTCTCCCTCGTGTTGATCATTCATTGCTCCCAGGTGTGTCTAGTTAATTACCCCATGTATTTAAGTGAGAGTCTGTGCTGTCTGTTTTTGTCCGAGATTATATGTCGAAGTTGTGTTTCCTGTGTGTCTCTGCCTGCCTTGTGTCACCCCTTGGATGTTGATTAAAGGACTACTGTTTGAGTTTACTCCTCGTCTCCTCATTCCTCGCTCCTCTCCGTGGGCTAGTGTGACAGAATCTCGGACCTAAACAGTTTAATCCGTGTGTTCCCTCCGTTTTTTTCTGTTCAGTGTTTTTTTTTTCCGTTGTGTTTCATGGATCCCCTCGCCCGCCCCGAATACCTCCTCCTCCTGCTGGATCGCCTCTCACCACCTCTTCCGATGATGATCTCGCCAGATCCACTCCGGACCCAGAGCCCAGCCCACCATCTCCCCGCTGCACGGAGCACGAGCCCGAGCCCACCGTTGACGGAGAGCCAGAGCCCGCCGCGACCGACGAGCCATCGCCGCACGGAGCGACAGAGCAACGGATCGCCGCAGAGCCGGAGCCTGTGACGCCAGTCCAGGTGCGAGAGCTGGCTACCATGCCCGCCACAAGGGAGAACGCCATGGCCAGTGAGATTGCGGAGAGGAGCTCCACCCACTGCAACAAGGCTGACGGTGAGATATTACTGGATCTGGGAAAATGGTGAGTGGAATGAGACCTGATAGACTTTGATACCGACCAGTCCCCTTTCCTCCCTCCTCCGTTGGTGAGCTCTGCCCCTCCAGTTAAGCCCAGAGAGGGCTCACATTCCTGAGTTTATCCCATAAAGCCCGTAGGCTCACAAATATCTGCCCTCCCACCCGCTCCTGCCTCCTCCACTGCTGTCGTCTGGCAGCCCCTCTGCTCGCCCTCAGCCCACCATCTGTGCGGTGCGAGCTCCACGGGACTGCCATCCTCCAGCGTCGCCGTGGCTAGCGTATCCCTTGACTCCGCCTCCAGCCTCTAAGCCCTAGACTCCGCCTCGGCCCGTGGACCCTTCGGATCCACCATGGCCCCTAGCTCCCTCTCCGCCGTGGCCCATCAGTCCACTGACTCGTCCCTCCGGCTCCGCCTTGGTCTGGCGTCGACCGTCCTGCACCTCGAGACTCCACTCCTCCAGCTGCGCCTCGTCCCTTTGTCCCTCTGGCTCCGTTAGGCTCCTTCATCCCTTCGGCTCCTCCTCAGCCCTCTGTCGCTCCGGCTCCACAGCGGACTTCTGGATCCCCACCTCTGCCTCGGTCTCCGGCGCCATCTGCTCCGCCTTGGCCCTCCGAATCCTCCCCGTCACCCTGGCTCATCGGCTCTCCGTCTCCGCCTCGAGCTCCTCCGCCACCTGCTCGGCAGCAGTCAGTTGGCCCCCTGGAGTCATCAGCCCTTCCTCCACCATGGTTCCTCCCCCCGTTGGCTCCTCCGGGGGTCGCCATCATGGCTGTGGCCTAGGTCCAGCTTGACTCCTCCTGCTCCAAGTCCCTCCTGTTTCCTCCCTGGCTCCTCCCTCCTTCTGATCTGCCCTGGCTCTTTCTGTTTCCTCCCTGGCTACCCCCTCCGTCGTCACCTCCCTGGACTCTGTCTGCCGGCCCCCTCCCGGGTGCCCATCCTCC